TTCTTTATAAATTACTCAGTCTCAGGCATTTCTTTCTTTCTTTTTTTTTTCTTCTAGTACCTGCATAGTTTAATATTTTGGAATTAAGTCTTTGATCCAATGAGTTGTAGTTTATCCATATGTATGATTTCTGAAATGAATCAAATTTTATTATAGAATTATTTATAATTGTAAAATATTAGGAAAATTATTTAAATGCCCAAAGATAGGAGACTGATTAACAAAAGCATAGCATGCACATGTGTACATGCACTTCATATTTACACACCCTTCCTTCCCTTTCTTCCTCTTCACATTTCTTTATAGCAATGCAAAAATGATACAGACACCCACACCAAGACATACTATAATTAAACAGTTGAAATACAAATACAAAAAGAGAACCTTGAAAGCAGTAAGAGAGAGGCAACTAATTACATAAAAGAGATTGATCAACAGATTTCTTATCAGAAACTTTGGAAGCCAGCAGTGGCTGATAAATCCAAAGTGCTAAACAGAAAAAAAACCTGTCAGTGAAAAATTCTATACTTGTCAAAATTATCCTTCAGAAGTGAGGGAGAAATTAAGACATTCAGAGATACACAAAGCTGAGGGATTTGATCCCAGTAGACCTGCTCCACAAGAAATACTAAAGGAAATTTTGTAGGTTGAAATGAAAGGATACACAATTTAAAAGACTAGTGCATTAAAAATATATATATATTAGTTTATGTTTTCAGACACACAATGTATAAAATAGGTGTGACATCAAAACCCAAAGGGGATGGATGGAGATGTGAAGGAGAATTTTATATGTCATTGAAGTTATAAATTCCAATTAGAGTGTTATAACTTTAGAATGTTAAATTCAATCCCCATAGTAACCTCATAGAAAATAGCTATAGAATATACACAAAAAGAAATGAAAAAGAAATTTACATATTTTACTACAAAAAAATAGATTAAACACAAAAGAACATGCAATGCAGAAAATGAGGGACAAAAAAGCTGTAAGGCATATAGGAAACAAACAGCAAAGTTACAGAAGTAAGTACCTCTTTACCAATAATTACTTTAGATATAAATGGATGAAATTCTCCAATCAAACGACAGATATTGGCAAAATGGGTTAAAAAAAGAAACATGATCCAACTATATGCTGTCTAAAGAAACTAACTTTATATCCAGACAAACATATTGAAAGTGAAAGGATTGACAAAGTTCTTTCATGCAATGGTAATCAGAAGAGAGCTGGGATGACTATAACTAGTATGGGAGAAAATAGGTATATCAAAAAGGTTTCAAGAGACAAAAGCAAAAGTGAGATTATATATATCCACTAAAAAGCCAGTACAATCTTTATAATCATTATAAAGATATAATAATTATAAATGTCTGTGCACATAACAGACTATCAAAATTTATGAAGCAAAAATGTACAGAATTGAAAAGAGAAATGGTTTGAGATTTCAATATCCTACTCTCAGTAACTAATCAACTAGACAAAAGATAAGTAAGGAAATAGAAAACTTACAGCACATAATAAACCAACTGTATCTAGTAGATAAATATAAAGCAGTCTACCCAACAACAAAATATTCTCCTCAAGTGGAGGTGGGACTTTTCTGGGATGGGCCATATGTTAGTCCACAAATTAAGTCTTAATAGATTTTAAGAGCTAAATATTATACAAAGTATATACTACAAACACAACATAATGAAGTTAGAAATCAATAAGAGAAGGAAAACTATTCACAAATTTGTAGAAATTAAACAATACATCCTTTAACAACCAGTGCATCAAAGAAGAAATGACAAGGGAAATTAGAAGAAACTTAGAGATGAATGAAAATAAAAGGACAACATGCCAAAACTTATGAGATTCAGTGAAAGCAGTGTTAAAGGGGGAAATTATAGCTATCAATTTTTTTCATTAAAAAACAAGAAAGACCTCAAGTCAGCACCTAACTTTACAACTTAAAGAACTAGAAAAAGAAGAACAAACTAAACCCAAAGCTAACAGAATAAAGGAAATAGTAAAAATTAAAGCAGAGTTAAACAAAATAAGGAGAAAAATGAGATAATCAACAAAACCAAAGTTAGTTTTTTGAAAAGATCAATAACATTAACATACCTTTAGCTAGGTAAATTAAGAAAAAGAGAGAAGATTTAAATTACTAGACTCAGAAATGAAAGTGAGGACATTGTCAGTTCTACATAAATATAAAGCATTATAAGAGAGTAAATGAATTATTGTATGGCAACAAACTGGTTGCTCTGGATAAAATAGACAAATTCCTAAAAATACAAAACCTTCTAAGACTAAATCACTAAAAAATAGAAAATTTGAACAGACCTATAACTATAGCTTGAATATCATTTATCTGAAATGCTTGGGACCGGAAATGTTTCAGATTTTGCATTTTGGAATATTTGCATATATATAATGAGGTATCTTAAGGATGGGACTCAAGTCTAAACATGACATTTATTTATGTTTTATATACATCATACACATAAACTGAAGATAATTTATACAATTTCTTAAATAATTTTGTGCATAAAATGAAGTTTTGACTGAGTTTTGACTGCAACCCTCATATGACAGTCAGGTATGAAATTTTCTACTTGTGGTGTCATATGAGCATCAAAAAAGAGATTTTGGAAGATTCTGAATTTTGGATTTTTAGATTAGGGATGTTTGACCTAAAGTAGGAAGATTGAATCACTAATAAAAAAATTTTCCACCAAAGAAAATCCCAGGCCTCATGGCTTTACTGTTGACTTTTACTGAGCCTTTAAAAAAGAACAAACACCAATACTTGCCAAACTTTTCAAAAATTTGAAGTGAAAGAAGTACCTCCTAATTCATTTTTTTTTTTTTTTTAAAGACAATTCCTCACTCTGTCACCCAGGCTGGTATGCAGTAGTATGATCATAGCTCACTGAAGTCTCAAACTCCTGAGCTCAAGCAGTTCTCCTGCCTTAGCCTCATGAATAGTTAGGACTACAGGTACATGCCCCCTCACCCAGCTACTTTTTAAGTTTTTTGTAGAGACAGGTTCTCACTTTGTTTCCAGGCTGATCTCAAATTCCTGGTTTCAAGAGATCCTCCCGCTTTGGCCTCTCAAAGTGCTGAAAATTACAGGTGTGAGCTGTTGTGCCCAGCCCCAACTCATTTATTGAGGCTAGCATTACCCTGATGCTAAAACCAAAGATATTACAAGAAATGAAAACTACAGATTGGTATTTCTTATGAACATGCAAACATTTTCAACAAATTATCACCAAATTGAATTCAGTAGCATATTTAAAGGACTATACACCATAACCAGGTGAGATTTATTCCTGGAATGCAGGGATGGTTCAGTGTATAAAAATCAATCAACATAATACAGATTTGTTGTAATAAACAACAGAATGAAGAAAGGAAACCACATAATCATCTCAATTGATATAGAAAAAATCATCCAATAAAAATAAATTCAACATCTCTTCATGATAAAAACCCTCAAGCAACTAACACTAGAAGGAAACTACCTCAATATAATAAAATCGATGTATAAAAAATCCACAGCAACCATTGTACTCAGTGGTGAAAGATTAGAAGTTTTCCTCTAAAATCAGGAACATGGCAAGGATGCTTGCTTTTGCCACTTTTATTCAACATAGTACTGGAAATTCTAGCTAGAGTAATTAGGCAAGAAAAAGAAATAAAAGACCTCCAAATTGGAAAGAAAGAAGTAAATTGTCTGTAGATTATAATCTTAAAGGTAGAAAACTAAAAAAAAAACTACCAAAAAATGTTAGAACTAATAAATAAATTAAGCAAATTGGCAAGATATCAAATCAAAACATACACACACACACACAAATCAGTTGTATTTCAAGACATTAAAAATAAACAATCCAAAAATAAAAATAAAAAGAAAAGCAATTCTGTTTATAATAGCATCAAAAGAATAAAATACTTAGGGATTAACTTAACCAAGGGGGTGAAAGACTTGCACAATGAAAACTATAAAACATTGCTGAAAGAAATTAAAGACAAAATAAATGGAAAGATAATTCCACGTTCAGGGATTGGAAGACTTACTATTGTTAGGATGTCAATACTACCCAAAATGATCTATAGAGTCAGTGTAATTTCTATCAAAATCCAAATAATATTATTTGAAGAAATGGAAAAACCCATTCTAAAATTTATGTGGAATCTCAAGAGATCTTCAATAGCCAACGCAAAAAGAACAAAGAACAAAAAACAAAGCTGGAAGACTCATACTTTCTGATTTAAAAACTTGCTACCCAGCTACGGTAATGAAAATACTATGGTATTAGAATAAAGGCAGACATATAAACCAGTGGAATAGACTAGAGAGCCCTGAAACAAACCGTTACAAATATGGTCAAATGATTTACAGCTGGAATGCCAAGATAATCCAATGGAGAAAAAGATAGTCTTTTCAACAAATGGTACTGGGAAACTAATATCCACATGAAAAATAATGAAGTTAGACCCTTACTTAACACTATATGCAAAAATTAACTCAAAATAGGCTCATGATGTAAATGTAATGCCTAAAGCTATAATTAGAAAACACAGGACAAAAGCTTTCTGAATTGGATTTGACAATGATTTTGCCAAAATCATTGGAACATAGGCAACAAATAAAAATTATACAATTGGATTTCATGAGAAAATTAAAAAATTTCTGCATCAAAAGACATTATGGGTGGTGATGTACAACATTATAAATGCATTTAATGTCATTAAACTGTATACCTAAAAATGATTAAAATGGTAAATCTTGTGTGTATTTTACTACAATAAAAATGAAAAAAATGATATTATCAGAGTAACAAAGCAACACATAGAATAGGAGAAAATATTCATAAATCACATATCTAATAAAGTATTAATATCCAGAATACAAAGAGTACTTTTGGTGGCGGGCAGAGGAAATGAAAAAATAACTTTTATTTCATTTTGGGGAGTGGGCCAATATCCAGCCTCAGAACTTCTAGAACTGCTTCATGATGCCCGCGGCCTTGGTGGCCATGAGCAGTTTGAAACACACAGTCTTGCTCAGGGGCCAGCACTCTCCCACTGTGATGATGTCATTGATCTGGACGTCTCTGAAGCAGGGAGACAGGTGTATGGACATGTTCTTGTGGCACATCTCGAAGCGGTTGTACTTGTGGATATAGTGGAGGTAGTCTCTGTGGATGACAATGGTCCTCTGCATTTTCATCTTGGTCACCACACCAGAAAGAATCCTCCCTCGAATAAAGACATTACCAGTGAAGGGGCATTTCTTGTCAACGTAGGTGCCCTCAGTAGCCTCTTTGGCTGTCTTGAAACCCAGACCAATGTTCTTGTAGTACTGTGGGAGCTTCTCCTTGCCAGTTTCTCCCAGCAGGACCCTCATCTTGTTTTGAAAGATGGTCAGCTGCTTTTGCTAGGCACATTCGATCTGAATGTCTGCCATCTTCCCTGCTACCTGAAAAAAGAAGACATAGAGTACTTCTAAAACTAACAACTTGATTCAGATGTGGGCAAAGAATTCAAATAGACATTTCTCAAGAGATAATATTACAAATGACCAATAACCACACAGAAAGATGCTCAACATTATTAATCACTAGAAAAAGGTAAATCAAAGCTAAAATGGGTACCACCTCACACCCATTAGATGGCTACTATTAAAATAAATAAGTAAATAAAATTTTGGTGAGGATGTGGGAAAATTGAAACCCTCGTGCACTGTTGGTGGTAATGTAAAATTGTGCAGCCACTGTGGAAAACAGTATGGCTGCTTTTCAAAAAATTAAGAATAGAATTACCACATAAACCAACAATTGCACTTCTGGTTATATACCTAAAATAATTGCAAGAAGGGTGTTGAAGAGATATTTGTACACACATATTCATAGCAGTATCATTCACCATAGCTGAAATGTGGATGCAGCCTCTCGTGTTTGAGGGTGGATGAATGGATAAGCAAAATATGCTCTATACACACAGTGTTATAGTATTCAGCCTTAAAAAGGAGGTCATTGACATAGGACATTGCCATATGCTGCAACATGTATGAACCTTGAGGATATTATGCTAAGTGTAATAAACGAATCACAAAATGACAAAACGGTACAATTTCACTTATATAAGGTACTTAGAGTTGTCAAAGTCATAGAGACAGAAAGTAGAATGATATTTGCCAGAGGCTAAGGGAGAATATATTGGGGAGTTATTGTTTATTGGTATAGAGTTTCAGTTTTGCAAGGTGAAAAGAGTTCCCAAGATGGATGGCAGTGATGGTTGCACAACAGTATAAATATACCACTGAACTGTACACTTAAAATAGTTAAAATGATAAATTTTATGTCATGTGTCTTTTACTGCAATTTTTAAAAAGTATCTGAGAGGGAATCTGAGAAATGTTCCTATAAGCAATGTGTGTGAATTTTAGAGCATGAAGTTTTTAAAATGTACTTTGACTACTTATACATCCTTTTTGTTTCTTTCCTGATTCCCAGCTCTATTTTATTCAAAGAAGCTTGCCAGATAGTCCTAAACAGATGAAATTCCCTGAAAATTTGTTTTCCAGGTTTCTTTGCCCTTATCTAGTTTCATAACATAGAAAGGTACTATGGAATGGGTAAAAACTTGAGCCCTGGGGTTAGACCTGAAAAAGTCAGAAAGGCCTGGGTTTGAATTTGAGCTCCACAAGTGACTTTGGAAAGTTAGGCAACCTCTCTAAGCCTCAGTTTGTTCATTCTGAAATGAAGATAATGTTTCCTTTGGAGGTCTCTTGTGGAGATTAAAGACAAAATGCATATGTAATGATACAGTGTACAGTGTCTGACACCAGTAAGAGATAATGCATGTTGTTAAACTGAGAAGCCCCAGCAGGAGGTGAGAGGATTAACTGTCTCATTCTGTCTGCTTATGAGTTGACTTTGTCAGTGTATTATAGCCAGCTCACTTTGCAATGTGAAGTGGAGATTATACCCAGAGCATTTTTCTGTTGATTATTACACAAAAGCAACCGAATAAGAATTTTTTTTTTTTTTTTTTTTTTGAGACGGAGTTTTGCTCTTGGTACCCAGGCTGGAGTGCAATGGCGCGATCTCGGCTCACCGCAACCTCCGCCTCCTGGGGTCAGGCAATTCTCCTGCCTCAGACTCCCGAGTAGCTGGGACTACAGGCACGCGCCACCAGGCCCAACTAATTTTCTGTATTTTTAGTAGAGACGGGGTTTCACCATGTTGACCAGGATGGTCTCGATCTCTTGACCTCGTGATCCACCCGCCTGGGCCTCCCAAAGTGCTGGGATTACAGGCATGAGCCACCGTGCCTGGCCCCCACCAAATAAGAATTTTGTAATAGACTTTATAAAAGCAAGGACAGGCCAGGTGTGGTGGTTCATGCCTGTAATCCCAGCACTTTGGGAGGCTGAGGTGGGTGGATCATCAGGTCAGGAGAGAGACCATCCTGGCCGATATGGTGAAACTCCGCCTCTACTAAAAATACAAAAATTAGCCAGGTGTGGTGGCATATGCTTGTAGTCTCAGCTACTCAGTATGCTGAGGCAGAAGAATTGCTTGAACTCGGGAGGTAGAGGTTGCAGTGAGCCAACATTAGGCCATTGCACTCCAGCCCAGGGACATTACGAGACTCCACCTCAAAAAAAAAAAAAGATAAAAGGCAAAAACAATTTAGCAACTAAATTTAGAAAATAGTCAAGTGGAAAGTATTTTTATTTCACTTGAGTTTATGCTATAAAACTGGGCCTGAGTGGGCATATGATTTCTTAAAATAAGGGTAAAATAAAACCTTTCAAGACCTAGTTGTACAAAGTTGGTTTTCTCAAAAAGACCTGGAAATTAGATATTCAAAAGAGATACTTTAAAAACAACATAACATATATATTTGAAAGTCTTCTTTTTTTTTGAGACAGAGTTTCGCTCTTGTCACCCAGGCTGGAGTGCAATGGCGTGATCTCGGCTCACCGCAACCTCCGCCTCCTGGGTTCAGGCAATTCTCCTGCCTCAGCCTCCTGAGTAGCTGGGATTACAGGCACGTGCCACCATGCCCAGCTAATTTTTTTGTATTTTTAGTAGAGACGGGGTTTCACCTTGTTGACCAGAATGGTCTCGATCTCTCGACCTCGTGATCCACCCGCCTCAGCCTCCCAAAGTGCTGGGATTACAGGCTTGAGCCACCGTGCCCGGCGAAAGTCTTCTTTACCAATTACTTTTTATTTACTTTTTGGATAAAGCCTATATATACACATATACATATACATATACACACTTATGTATAATACATATATTCATAGGAGTGTTTTTAGTTTGCTTATTTATATTTTTTTATAGAAAAAAAAAGAAATGTGCCATTGTAAGACAATTGTGGTGAACTCACCCTTGATTCTGCATCAGAAAAAGTGTGTTTGCATGGACACAGGGAGGGGAGCACTACACACTGGGGTCTGTTGGGGGAAAATGGGGGAGGGGCGGGAGGGTGGGGAGGTGGGAAGAGATAGCATGGGGAGAAATGACAGATACAGGTGAGGGGAAGGAAGGCAGCAAACCACATTGCCATGTGTGTACCTATGCAGCAATCTTGCATGTTCTTCACATGTACCCCAAAACCTAAAATGCAATTTAAAAAAAAAGAAAGAAAAAGTGTTTTGGGGTTTCCGACCCCTCTTCCTTTCACCTGCGCGCCCCCCCCCAACCCAAGTATCTTCTCTCTTTTTTATCCAGGCTCAAAGACAGAATATGAGAGTGTAAATGATTATAAAAGTATACTTCCCACTTCTGAAGGCACACAGAAGAAAAAAAGCACATCAACAACCTATGCACATGTGCATTTAAAACATGACTGGTATTGAAAGCATATGTCCAAAGACTTGTACAAGAATTTTTACAGCACCATTATTCATAAATACAAAAAGTGGAAACAACCCAAATGTCTATCAGTTGTACATTATAAATAAATAAAATGTGATATATACATATATTTATATATAAATATGTGCATATTTATATTGAGTATGTTCAACTCTGTGAATATACTAAAACCCACAAATTGTACACTTTATAAATATGAATTTTTATGGTATATGAATCCTATCTAAATGAAGCTGTTAAAAAGAAAAAGAAAAACACAACTGGGTTCTGATAGAACAATTCTAAATTTTAAATCATATAGATATTTAATTTCACCATAGAAGAGTTATAACATTTTAATAAATGATCTTGAGGTTATTTATTAAGATTTATTTCTTGAAACAACCCTGGGGTTATTTATTAAAATTACATAAAGCCAACAAATTTTTTTCTGAAAACACCTTTACCTTAGAAATCAGAGTTTTCTAGGAAAAGCAAGGAACATTAACAACAAATTCACTTAAACCTTCTTGGAGGATTATGGTTTTCACTCTCTATTCACATTCACCAGTTGAAGCTTCTGAGGTAGTGTTTGTTTTCTGAACATTTAAAGTTTCCTAGAGAGGTTTAAGAATTCTTGTTCTTGTTCAGAGTGATGCCAAAACAGCATTACACAATTGACATGAAAAATTAAAGAGAATGACTAATGAAGTTCTAGCAAAGCTATTTCTAAATTCTACCTCTGCTCTCTACCAGGATGAATACGTTTTGTTTTCTCATGCCCAATTTATTTAAGCAACACATTATTCCAGAAATTGAGAAACTGGCAGGCAGTGATAAAAGTCTACTCTAAAAATAAATTTGGGTTTTTGATTGTTTTTCCATTTGATCTTCTTTAAGAATTAAAATGAGCAATGTCATTAATATGCTTAAATAAGGGAACAGGCTGAAATAATATTACAGGCTTCAAGTTATGCAATGTTCTAATCTCACAGATATGGAAACTGATATTTTGGGGCTAGGGATCATTTCTTAATCATCTATAGTAAAATTCCTATGCACAAAAAAATAATGTGATCAGATTCAAAGCTAATTTGGATCACACTTTTAGGTATGCTTATTGAAAAAAACAAATATTAATCTATAAAACAGATTAGCAATTACAGCACAAATCTCTTTAGCCTGCTAACCATCATTATTATTATCAGAAATTATCTCTAATACTCAATATGCTAATCCATTGCTAGTTCCTCTAAAAAAAAATTTTCCAGCATAAAACAAAAATTAATTAAAAGAGAGAATAGGGACAGAGTCAATCCTTGACAACTTTTTAAAAGTCAAATGAGATGATTCCTTCCTGGATCCAAACAGCCCTCTATTTTGTTGATATCGCCCAAGAATTTCATGGATAGCAATGCCCGAGGACTATAGTGGAAAGAAGGGCAAAAAAGCCCTGCTTGCCAGGGACAACTGCATGTCATTCCTAACTAGAAACATCTGAACCCAGGGTTGCCCACAATAAGTCTTCATATGA